CTCAACCCAAAACCTTAAGGCATTAGAGGGTTCATGAGTCATTTCACTTATATACTTTTCACTTAATTCATTACCAACTAATGTGCGACTCATCACACTTTAATATCTCAACGTAAAGGACTTAGTTGATATCATAACGGCCCCATCAATAGGTTTAGACGAAGATCCAACAATGAACTTAGACAAGAACAAAGTCGACCACTCAGTGGGCTTGGCAATTGGCATCCATCATGTGACTCTCTTCACTTCTAACAGTATGAAATATTTTAGAAAGTGAGCGTAAATTTTCTTTACCTAGGATCTGGACCAAAGTGAGGATAGATCCAAAAAAGAAAATGCAGACGATCCTCTATGTGGCTGGACAAGAGGTAGATGGTTACACTGAAGACTGACTTAAGATTTTTATGAACGCTGAGGCTCCCAGATTGGAACTCTGATGCCATGTGGAAAGATGAAAAATATTTATTGTTTTTACACATTGCTGCAGTATATTATATAAAGAATAAACGTAAACAAGTAAAAAAAAATGATTAAACTAAGATCAGTTTTAAATATAGTTGTAAAAGTACCATTTCACCCTTCCTCTTATATTTATACGGTGCGTTTTAAATATATTACCCTTAATGGTTTAAACTATTTTTAGGATCAGTTTTAACACTTTACATATAATGTTCACAAGGCATGCACTATAAATTAAGCATCGTGCAATACTTTAATTTCTAAGTGCATATTTGAAATTTCCCACACTTTTAGGACATGTGTTAATTGCTAAAAAAAAAAAAAAAAAACTCCCTGTCGGCTATATAATTAATTTGTAGGGAGGAAAAAAATTTATAAACTAAAAAGGAGAGCTGAGGAGTTCAATGAACATGCACATGTTGCCATGCTGTTGTATGCTTTTTTTTTAGTAATTACTATTGTTTGCTTTTAGCACATAAGCACATACAGTTCCAAATACATATTACATGATAATTTTTGTATTCAACTTTGGAGACAATTTTATGACATTCGTCATACAACACGTGCACGGGTATTGGGGCCTCTGATTCCTCTCCAGTGAACAATGAATGTTGAGCTCGATTCAGACCCCCGTTATCAATATATATGTGTGTGGGGAGTAATGTTGTCAAAGAGTTTTTGCGTAGAAACAAAGAAAGACGGTAGAAATGTAAAACGTAAAAATGACACGAAATGTAAAATTTATACTTTCTATTACTTAAAGACAAGATATAAAATTATATATATATGTAAGTAAAAAATATCACATAATGAATATGTATATTGAACCACTTATCTATTTAAAAAAGAAAATTATTTTTCATAACCAAGTATTAAAATTATAAACATTGATAATCAATAAGTAATGGATAATCAATCTGCTCTAACTGCTTTATACACTATGCAGATTTTGGGTCATCGCTTATCAAGATATAATTTCACTTCTTTAAATGCACACAATGATCCAAAAACACAAAACGATTCTTATAGCATAACTTATAATAGAATTGCAGCTTTATAAGACATAATTATAAAAAACATATATCAAAACAAAAAGATATTAAGATACTATGAATATGATTTGGGAAAAATTAAAATTAGGTTTTTTTTTAATTTTTTTTTGTAAATCTTTTTTATTTAACTTTTAGTTTTAAGTAAAAACGGTCAAAACGATAAAAACGTAAGTTTTTACCGTTTTTACGTTGTTATGCGGAGTTTCTACCAAGTTTTACCAAGAACCGTTTTTACTTAAGTTTTAACATGGACCACTCTAGTAAAAACGTAAAAAACGTAAATTTTTACGTTTGTACACTAGTTCTTGACAACAATAGTGGAGAGGGTAAATTGCATTTGCAGTCCCAACATTTCATTAAAGTTTTGATATGGTCAAAAATATATTTTTTCTTATTTACATCTTATACATTACTCGGATGTAAATGGATAAGTCAGACTTGGATTGTTAACTTAGTATAGGTCAAATTAAGTCTAGCATAACCTCCATTTAAAAAATAAAAAGTTTACCATAAGTCTATTAGTCTGTTTAAGTTTATTAGATATTTCAGAATTTTAAAAATAAAATATTACCTTATTGTTTAAAATTATTTAAATAATAATATTATTTATTTTATTTAAAAAATATTATGATATAGGTTAGGCCTTGTAAAAAAAGTCTATATATTTTTTAAATAAACTTTTTTAAGGGTTTAAATCTATTCTATTTTATTAAATTTGATTGGCTAAGTCTGACTTGATATAGATAGAATCATGAACCGATGATAGGATGCCTGATGATTTACACCCTTAAACATGACTATTTAATTTCAATGTTATCATTAAATTCAACCCAATCTAAATTACTATGAGTACTATGTACAAAATAAAAAAAACAAAATTTACTATGAGTACTAACATGGAGCCAACTCGGGTAATTGGAATCAATAGTAATCCTACATATATATCTAAGTTGGAACGTAACAAAATTAATATTTAATTATAAATTCTAATAGTTCATTTTAAGGAAATAATTATCTCATGTTGCATGAGATAATTATATCATGTAAGAGAGACAAAGTAGTAGAGTCTACATTATTTTTTCTTTTTTCTTTTTTTTACAAATGATGGACCCCACCCACTATCTTATCTCTGTTGCATGAGATAATTATCTCATGCAACATGAGATTAATAGATCGCTTTATTTTAATATTTTCTTTTACGAAATAACAGTATTCGGTTCAATAAAAAGAAAAATTTCAGCGCCGCAATGTGGATTATGCTTCTAAAATATACATAATTTGGAACCCACTCAAGAGGTTCCTATGGGTCACAATGCTATTTACATTATTATTTTTGGGTATATAGATATTAGAAATTCTATTTGAACATCTTATCCCTTTTTTAAAATATATTTAAACCTTTTCCACTTGACAAAGATGCAAGAATCTATAAAAAGGCATTATTATTCAAATTAGTGACCGGGGTAAGGTTTGGGACTTTGGGTATTTAACACTTTTAATATACACACAGAAAAGGAGCAAAAGTCGGAAAATGATTTATTGCGTTGTCAGTTGTCACATAATCGAAAGCCTCTTTCTATTTTCAGTTCTCACTGCTGCTCTATATCCTCTCTATTTAATACGATACTTAGTTTAGTATTTTTTATATTTTAGAAGATAAATTTATTTTTCATATATACATAAAAATATATGGAACCCATTGTTTTGTACAAGGAGAAAAAAGAGAAAAAAAAATATGAACTATATATATATATATATATATATATATATATATATATAACAGATAAATTTATTTTCTATAAAAAACAGTAAATCCTTTATTCTTTTAAATTTGAAATTATAAACATGACTTGTATATTAGGTACAGGGTCGTGGGTGGGTTGGTAATTTCGTGTTTCTTTAGGATGGTAGTTAAATTTGTTTGTTAAAGAATAAAAAACAAAAAAAAGAGAGGCTGAAAATGTAGTGTGGACTGCAACTAACAAATTAAGAAGGAGACACCATAACCTTTCCTCACAATTTCAAAAGCAACACAACACAACACAGAGATATATTCACACGCAAAAACGCACACTCGCAGAAGAAAGAGAGAGGAATCACCCTTTCATGCTTTCTCTCTTCTCCATTTTCGATCTCATTTTCCTTTTTACCTGAACTCCGCATTTCCCTGCAGCTCAAGAATTTTAGATTTGGATTCATTTCATCATCTTGTCTTCTCACATTCTTCTGGTTTTCGATGTGAGATCGCATTTGCACAGGGGAAGGAGTGCTTCAATGTTCGACTTCTAATTTTTTTTTTCTGTTTTTAAATCTTCATGCAATTTTGTTTTGTTTTTTTTCGTTTCTCTCTTTCGGATTTTGATTTTGAACTTCCGCATTGTGTTTTTTCCACACTAGTAGTCCACGGGATCGAGGGCTAAAATCCCTCGAATTCTTCTTTACTTAAGTGTTTTTTTTTAAAAAAAAAAAAAATTATCCATGAGGACTAAAATTTGATCTGGAGTTTTGTTTTGCTGAAATTGTGAATTTCGTTGTATTTGACGGATAATAATAATATATTAATATTAATTATATAGAACTGCGATTTTAATTCGGACCTCCGGTTCTGATTTTAATTGTTTCTTCCAAAACACGGCAAAATTTGCTGTCAGTAACAGTTCTGCTATAAGAAAACTCGAAATTTTGGCATTTTTTTCTCTTTGGATTTATTTAAACTATAATATTTGTTTGTTTGCTGATTCATATCCTATTTGTGGAGTTTTATTCTGGGTTTGTTTGGATTATGTTTTTTATGCTAAAATTAGGATAACTGAAACTACTCCAACGAAAAAACAAGCTAGGATTTTTAGTAAGATAATTGCATCCATTCAATTATTTATTTTTTCTTCTGGCAATCCCTTTTGAGACTTTTGTTTCTGAATTTCTCACCACACCAAGTTGGTGAAGAATTTTTCTTGAAAAATTGACTCCCGGTCTTTGTCACCGTAGGTAATTGTCTTATTCCAAGGTCTAAATTTTCTATGTTCCATGTGAGGGAGAATTTGACAGTCTGTTCCTTGTCTTGGGGACCATCCCAGAAAACTCCAAGCTTTCCATAAGAATCCAGAAAGCACCGCAATTTGGTGTCAAGATTATAGGAGCTTATGATATTGGTCAATTACTATTTTTTTCCCCTCTCTGACATGCCTGAATTTAAAATTGCATAAAACATTATCATTCTTTTATTTTCTTTGCTATTTTATGGAGCGATAACATTTGATTAGTTTGTTGCTGCAGATAATGATTGGGGGTTGAAAGCTTCGTTGGCCCTTGTGTTCCATACCCTCACAACCCAACAATAGTACTATACAAGCTTTGTGAAAAGTAATAAAATAACTGAATGCCAAATTGGCCTTTGTAATGCTCTGAATTCAGGACCTGATCTCATTGCCATCGTTGGAATTGGAGGTTTAGAAAGAAAAAGAAAAAGGTTGAGAAGGAGGTGAGAAAATGGGTTCCATTGCAGGGGAGGAAGCAGTGCAAGGCCCAACAGAGGAGAGAATTCTTGTTTCTGTTCGTGTGCGACCTCTGAATGATAAGGAGATCGCAAAAAATGATTTGTCTGAATGGGAATGCATTAATGACACTGCCATCATATACAGGAGCAACCTTTCAGCTTCCGATAGGTCCCTGTATCCAACAGCCTATTCATTTGGTACGATGAGGCTTATCTTACAATTCCATATTTAGATTTACTAGGTGTTTGTATGAAGGCTTATGTTCGAAATGCAGAGCGATTTTGACTGAAAACATCCACTTGATTTAATTTTCTTCCTACAATGCAGCTCGGATTGCGTATATTTTCATGTATTTGGATGCTTTTTAATTTGCAATAAAAGGCTGAATTAACTTAGAGAATATGGTGGGAATTTACCGTAATTGAAATTGATCACACAAGTTACTATAATGTGGTGGGCTTCAATCGAGGGCTTAAAATCTCTTAGGGATCTTTGTTCAGTACATTATATAGTTTTGTTAAGATATTTGTCACCATTCTGCTCCGGAGAAAATCATGTAAAGTGCCATAAATCTGGTTGAATCTATACATGGAAGTAGAGGGTGGTTCAATGCTTTTGTCAGTGAAGCCACTCTTCTACTGAGATCATATTTGGCTTTTATTCCATCAGATCTACATGGGTCAAAAACTACCCTCTTCTGATCCACCTTGATTTCTTTTGGCTGTAGACCGAGTATTTAGAACTGATTGCCCCACAAGACAGGTGTACGAAGAAGCAGCTAAGGAAGTTGCTCTTTCAGTTCTCAGTGGCATCAACTGTGAGTTTTTCTTTTCTTCCTTTTCTCTGTCATAAGCATTCACATCCATGGAACTTCTATATTAACATCTTTGGCCGGGCCTGTTGGGTCTTTGATTATCTATTTGATCAGCAAGCATTTTTGCATACGGACAAACAAGCAGCGGAAAGACATACACCATGAGTGGTATAACTGAGAACACTGTAGCAGATATTTTTGACTACGTAGAAAAGGTAAATGAAATCTAAACACATCACTGCATTACCTTGTCATTCCCAAAAACTTGTTTTGATTAGATTTTCATTTTTTACAGCACAAGGAAAGGGAGTTTGTTATGAAGTTTTCAGCATTGGAGATCTATAATGAATCTGTCAGGGACCTCCTTAGTGCAGACAGTACGCCTCTCAGACTCCTTGATGATCCAGAGGTAAATATTTTTAATTTTGATTATTTTTTCAGAAAAGCTAGTGTATGTATATTTTACTAACAATTTTTCATTTAAACAGAAAGGGACTGTTGTTGAGAGACTCACCGAGGAAACTTTGAGTGACTGGAACCATTTTACAGAACTTATTTCTTTCTGTGAAAGTAAGTAAGGACAAAGGATAGTTTGGGCGATTGTTGCTTCAACTGAGTTACCAAGATTGACTTTCTGTTATATGTTTTTCTTCTTGTGTCTTTCCTCTTTACAAAACTTTTGTCCAGCTAGAGCTGACTGCAAACTTATCCTACAATTAATTGCATTTTTTCAGCTCAAAGGCAGATAGGGGAGACAACCCTGAATGAAGTAAGCTCCAGATCTCATCAGATTCTCAGACTGGTATGTGTATTCCTATTTTTGTTGAAAGGCAGTGAACTTTTATAGTACCTTAGTACTTACATTTCCTACATAATGTGGTTTCAGACAATTGAAAGTACTGCACGTGAATTTCTGGGAAATTACAAATCGAGCTCTCTTGCCGCTTCAGTGGTATGACTGATTCACTCAGATTAAAGGAAAATATACAATAATCACTTTATTACGTTAAAGTACATCAATAGTAAACAAAAATGATAATTTTTTTCCCGGGTACAGAATTTTGTTGATCTTGCCGGGAGTGAGCGTGCATCCCAAACTAATTCAGCTGGTACGAGGTTGAAAGAGGGTTCTCATATTAATCGTAGTTTACTAACTTTAGGAACTGTTATCCGCAAACTCAGGTTAGCTTGTAAAGGTTGCATTTCAATATTCTTTTACTTACCTAAATGTACACTATGTCCTCATTCTTTCAATCTTACCCATAACATCAACACACATTGGGTAAATATGAAAGGGCATTAAGACACATTGTGATTTAGAGAGGACGTAAGATTGTTCACTTTTATAACCATATGGCTCGCTTTGGCTACATGACATTATTTTTCTTCTTATACTGGCTTTTGGTGACTCCTTAACCCTCTTTATATATGAGGTAGACATTATGGTTTACTGATCTTTCTAACGGTAGCACGTGCAATATAACTGTATTAATACAAAAAAGGAGACATGGATAAGTTTATCTCTCTACTGCACTCCTTTATTGTGAATTAACATTCTTATTATGCATCCATAGCCAACAGATTCCGTCAGTAATTAGTTTATTTCTTTGGAAATTATGAGCAGGTGAAAATCTTTGAGACTAATTTTTTCAAAAACTTATTGAATGTGTCAATATAATCTATGTTTGAATATTTTATACTTATGTTTGGGAAATATTTCTCTCGTTTTAATCTAAAAATATTGAATCTGATAGCAGCAAGGGGAGAAATGGACATATTCCTTTCAGAGATTCAAAGCTAACCCGCATACTACAGTCCTCATTAGCAGGCAATGCTAGAACTGCAATCATCTGCACCATGAGCCCTGCACGGAGTCATGTTGAACAAACCAGAAACACCCTGTTATTCGCAAGTTGTGCTAAAGAAGTGTCAACTAATGCAAAAGTCAATGTAGTGATGTCTGATAAATTGTTGGTCAAGCAACTACAAAAAGAGTTGGCTAGACTGGAAAGTGATTTGAGAAATTCTGGTCCAACCCGCACTAAATCTGATTCTGCAACATTGCTGAGGGAAAAAGACCTCCAAATTGAGATGGTAATGTTAAGGATTTTTGCAACAAAGATTCATTGCATTTTTAATGCTTTAAAGTAGAAATTGTTCATTATCTCTGACATCAAGGCAAAATTCTAAAATTCCATACGGAAAAATTGATAAAATATATTATCCACAATGTTAAATAAGGTATACGCTTTTCTTTGAAAAGTAGATTGTACTGTTTGTAAGGTAGTAGATGTTCTGACTCGATTGTTGTTATTCTTTGCTGGTCCTGTAACGTTCTGCAGTCCATGTTTTATCCCATACCTTCTCCGTTGTTGAATCTCTGTGATTACCTACTATATTTATAAACTTTCTATGTTGAATTGTTCTTTCCTCACATAGTGCTTCCATCTCAGACTCCCAGTAAATTTACTTGATTTATTAAGTGATGCTCTCCCATTTACTAGTTAAAAATTTAATTGTTCGAATTTCATTTCCTTTCGGTGGCTAATAATGGAGCCATTTGATGCTCTTGAGGTAAAAAATATAGGAGCTTTGGCACTCCCATCCCATGATACTCAGGTTTGCTTGGATCTCTGGGTCATCCATCATTTTTCTGATGTTGTTTATAAAATTGAGTTTAAATCATGGGATTTACGGAAAACATCAATGATAGTCTTCACTAGACATTATTTCTTGCATTTTTAGAAAATAATGTGTTCCAAGCTCATTGTTATTCTAAGGCCAGAAGAGAATCTTTTTTTGACCTTAGTTATTTCAATGTTGTCAACAACTAGAGAAACAGGGTCAGCTTAGGCACGGGGGTTCTCATTTTATTGCCTAGCCCTGAAACATTCCCTTCTCAACGAATTTCAGTTGGTCTTTTTTTTTTTTTTTTTTTAATTTCATTTTGAAGAGGCACCTTCAAATGTTCTTTGTATTATGTATATATTCACTCAATATTGATGTGAAATCAGCATATGAGTCTTATATAATGTATGAGGAATGACGACACTGTAATTTCCTTACTTTTGAGCATGAGTTTCTTTTTAAGCTGTAAATATGAAATCTGTTATTGTCCCTCTGTACTTGCAGTTAAAGAAAGAGATATCGGATCTGACTTTGCAGCGGGACCTTGCTCAATCTCAAATTAAGGACATGCTTCAAGTGGTTGGAGACGATACGTCCTCAGCTGAATTGGTAAGTGTATTTGCCTACTCTAAAGCATTAAAAGTAGTAATTGGCATTCCTTTTAAATCTAATTTATGTTCAAACCCAATCTCCAGGAAAGTTTGGAGCCTCAATATCCCAAATTACGTGTGAGGAGTTCATGGGACTTCGAAAATCCAACAGAGGAACCAAATTTATCAAGTTTTGACTGCTTGGAGAGTGTGAGATCTTTTGATGCGTCTCAATATTCTGATGGACACAGTTTTAGTTCTGATGAGAACTTTTTCCAACTCCCTGATTTGGAAAAGAATCTTCACTTCAGGAATTCTTCCCCAGGTCTGTCTGTTGTAAGTACTAATGTTGAAAGGAATGATTTTGATCAAAAGAGCGTTGAAGAACAGCACAATGATAATTTAGGCCACCCTTGTAAGGAAGTTAAGTGCATTGAGTCAGAAGACGTAATTACAAACACAAATACACACTCAAATCCATCAGATTTGGGTCCAAATTTCTACACAGACTCTAATGCTTCATCCCCGGAGGCAAACGCGACTATCTCAGGATTGACCGAAGTTGATAATAGAGACAAAGAAAATCTAGATTTGAATTTGTCTGTGTTAAAGGAAAACAAAGAATTGAACCGCTTACACCAAGATTCTGCTCTTGCTTCTCCAGTGAAAATATCTCCAAGGCTGGCAGAAAACAGTGCATCTAGTTGTAAAACCTTGAAGTTGACCAGAAGCATAAGTTGTAAAGCAAATCTCATGAGGGATTCATCTTCAGATTGGTTTGATCAGGAAGAAATAATTCAGAACACACCCCTGATAGATATTGAAAAAGACTTTACGAGAAGACTTGAGGAGTTTCAAAGGAAGTCCTACACACTAAATTATAATGCCAATGCTGAGAGGATGTCATGGACTGGTTATGGGAATTCTGTGGCAATTGCTGCTGTTGATGTACAGAATGTGAAATCCTCCACCGATGAGGCAAGCGATGGCAATAGTACTTTAGCTCCAGGAACAAAGGAAAAGAAAGATCTTGATAGTTCAAATCTACCGGAGAACCGTGAGGTATGATTCTATTGCTCATTTTCTTTCCTTTATTTGTTTCTTTTTGTCTTCTTATTGGTCTTATTCCTGAGTGTTCACGGCCAAACATCAGTTATTTGATCTAATTGATAATTTTTGTAAGCCGCTATATAATTCCTTTTTGTATTTCTGCTTAACCACGTTACTGATGTAAGTAGCATGGATATATTACCAAAACGTTATATATTGAAAATTCAGCCGGTGATTTATTAAGTTGTTCTGCATGGCAGGTTCCAGACGCAGTACTGGAGTCCATTGTTTCAGCAAAGAAGTTCAAAGATGTTGGATTGGACCCATTGCAATCTGATGAAGAAAAACATTTGGAATGGCATATAGAATTTAAGCGTCTGCAAAGAGAGATTATTGAACTCTGGCATGCTTGTAATGTTTCATTGATTCACAGGACTTACTTTTTCCTTCTATTCAAAGGTGATCAATCAGATTCTATCTACATGGAGGTAGAGCTGAGAAGGTTGTCCTATCTCAAGCAAACTTTTTCTCAAGGGAATCAGACTGTGGAAGACGGACGAACCCTTAACCCTGAATCAAGGTAAGATTTCAAGTATCCAGGTTTTGTTTAAAAGTCTTTTATGAATTTTTATCTTTTATAGAAGTTTACATTTTGGATAATAACAAAACTTACAATGCGTTTCCTTTGCAAACAGCGTGAGATATCTTCGAAGAGAAAGACAGATGTTGAGCAAGCAAATGCAGAGGAAGCTGTCAAAATCTGAAAGAGAGAACCTCTATTTGAAGTGGGGAGTTCGTATGAGTTCAAAGCATAGGAGGTTGCATCTGGCCCACCGCCTGTGGTCTGAAACAAAAGACATAGACCACATTACAGAGAGTGCCACCATTGTTGCAAAGCTAGTTGGTTCAGTAGAGCCAGATCAGGCTTTTAAGGAAATGTTTGGGCTCAACTTTGCCCCACGTCGCAGAAGTAAGAAATCTTTTGGCTGGACAACCAGTATTAAGCGTATTTTGTGAGGTTGATTGTCGAAGCGGATTACTTTATAGGAAGTTGGATGTGGCCATGTAAAAATTTCCCCCAGGCTCCAGTTAACATAGGAAATTATTTTTAACCACTTCTATAAACAATTTGATCTCTATTTTATGCTTCTGACCCCGATTGCTATTGATTGTAAAGACGTTCATCAAGGATGTGCTATTCCAAGGTTGTAGATTTCTTCATCTTCTAGACACTGTTTACCTAAGAATTAGTCCTTTTTTTTTTTTTTTAGAAAAATTAGAATAACAGTACTGGTTTTTTTTTAGCAGTCCATACCATCCTACTTAATATTAGGAATCAGATAACAATTTCTGAGAATAGAATTACCCCTTATGAAAAACGAGAACGTATTTTCTTGGTACATAAAATAAATAATTACGTATCGCCAAGCTGTTTAATTACCATGTGTCGTCCGTGGATTACATAGAGCAAATAATTACCCTTTGTGTTATAGGGGATCTGGAACTCGAAATGATCATGCTTTTACTGCTAAATTTTGGGTAGATGCTTGTAGAGTCATCTTTTTGGTGCATCCCTCTGTGAACAGTCCATTGGTGGACACTTCAAATAAATGTCATAATAGGTAATTATAATTTATAATAGGAAAAACTTTATAAAAATGTTTAACCCTTCTCTTAAAATTAAAATGTGGCTAACCTTTTTTTTTAATCAATAATGTTCCTAATGTTTAAAATTCTCTTAACTTTCTGTTAATTTCAAATAAAGGATTAGTGTTCTCATGTCGTACGAGATAAAATTATTTACTATATAGTATATGGGTCCGTCGGTTCTCTTGTTGCTGCTGATGAGAAAAGTTGCAGTAAATTTTTAACACTAGGATACACGTGCGGATCCTAGGATACACGTGCGGATCCTATCAAAACAAAAAAAAACTAAAAAAATCCAGGATTCGAACGCGTATCCTGTGTTGCTGCAGATTTTCCCTTCTGCAGTCACATAAGAAGTACTTTCCCCATAGTATATACACATAAAAGTATTTGGGCCAATCAAATAATACTATTAAATTTTATTATATTATGAGTAATTTTCTCTTTAATTATCTAAAAACACAAAGCAACATAACTAGTGATAAGAAGAATGTAAATACATTATAGTATCCATTTCATAAAGACCTAAAAAGGGATGGCAATGATCAGAAAGCACTACACACATGCTTTATAGAAGTCATTTTTATAATCAAATTTATGTCATTATAGTCAAATTTATGTCATTATAGTCATCTATACCTGATTTGGACATTATACCTACGAGATGAAGGCCAAACCTTAGAAGGGCTTAAAAGCCTTGACTTAACCTTGAAGAATACATGTGCATCTCGCGTAAGAACTGCGGGTATCTCGGTTCCTCAAATGGCAACCACTTGCCAAGCTGCACAGACAAATGGAATGTGGCAAGATCAGCTGCTCAAAGCCACTTGACCACCATATGAAAACAATAATTGAATGACAGCACCAAATCACCACACCCACTTGTAGGCATCCCACCATCCATATAGCCTATGAAAGGCCACCACTCTACACCAATAGGAATAAACACCACTATACAAAGGTAACATAAGCGAGGCATCTCTCAACTATAAATACAAAGGCCTTCAGCCCAGGTAAGATCATTTATCATTGAATACTTGAACTACTTAATATTGAATTAACTTGAGTGTCAGAGTGTCTTGCATGTATACCCTCCAAGTCTCTCAAGCTACCCAGATTCCAACGTACCAGCTCAACCATCTCGCCAAAGCCTCTTAGCTATCTTGTCATAGCTTGTCATCTCAAGAATACTTTCTTCATCAGCATACTTTTCTTCATCAACATCCTTTACTTCAATCGTGTGTGATCCAGCCCAACTTAATAGTTATTGAACTGATCGTTGGTGTCGTCTGTAAGGATGATAAATCTTGACTCCCACTTCAAATAAATCAAAAGCATGGTTGATATATGGTTGATACTAGCGTATTGTGGACTATCACCGGAGTCAAAAAAATTGTATTATGTGCAATGTTATTAAACACAGTCCAATTATTGACCCGGTCGAGGTACTGGATCACTAGGTTATTAGTTCAACTAGTGGATTACTGGTTTAACCACATGACCCGTTAGTATATGTAAATATATAATTTATATTAAAAAACTATAAATATACTTAAATACCTGTAAAAAATAATACAAATTTCAAATATTTTAATATAAAAAATAATAAATTACACATCATTGTCCAATAAAAGATCAATCAAACATATAATACTTGTGATACTTGTGTTTCAGGTTCAGTAGACGATATCTATAACTATAAATCAAATCAAAATTTCATGCATATTGCATAACCAATATAATATTAGTGTACAAATCAAAATACAATATTGTAATTACTAGATAGTTAATTTATTGATAAATTCAAATATGTAAGATAAGATAAACAACTTGTGTACATTTTGAATAGAATTTATAATTATTAGATAATTCATTTTTACACGAGCTGTGAATCCTATTTTCAAGATTTAATTCTATTAATAAATTCATTATCTAATAATCTTACATTAAAATTGTCTAATAATTATTGACTGTGCACAATCTGTCAAATAATTAATTATCTAATAATTATTTAAGGAAAAATGTTTGTCCTTTTAAAGGATATAATTTTTGGGATAAACTATTCTACCTATCTTTTTTTTTTTTCTGCCTACCACTCTATAACACCATTAGATCAGAATCTCAATAGAAGAGAGAAATAATAAAGGTAGTTCAGATTCTGATATAATGATGTTTGAAAGTGGTAGCCAATGATAGAAAAAAAGAGGTACACTCTCTAACACTTTTAGATCAGAATCTCAATAGGAGAGAGAAATAATAAAGGTAGTTTAGATTCTAATATAATGATATTTGAAAGTGGTAGGCAACAATAGGAAAAAAAAGAGAGGTACACTCTCTAACACTATTAGATCATAATCTCAATAGAGAGAGAAATAAGAAAGGTAGTTTAGATTATGATATAATGATGTTTGAAAGTGATAGGCAACGGTAGACATAAAAAAAAGTGGATAAAATAACTTGGAGAAGTATATTGTGACAACCAAGTTGTGTTACTACCAAGTGACTACCAATCAATCTCACCGTTAGATCAATTATGTGGATCCAACGGTTATATTTATTTATATCTTTGTATGGTCATGATTCCCCATATTTAAAGTGAAAGCATTAAATATGGGAAATCATAACCATACAAAGGTGAAAATAAATATAAAGTATTAAATTTGGGGAATCATGACCATACAAAGATGAAAATAAATATAACCGTTGGATCAACATAATCGATCTAACAGTAAGATTGATTGGTAGTCATTTGGTAGTAACACAACTTGGTTGTCACAATATCTTTCCCCAAATAACTTATCCCATAGTTTTGTATTATTTAAAGGGACATGTTATTCTGCCTACTCTTATTTTGCCTACCTCTCTTAACACCGTTAGATTACAATATTATCTAATGGTGGAGATTTGTAGAATAAAATAAACCATTTTTTCCTTTCTTTCTCCTTACTACCTCCCACACTCTTTCTCTCTCCTCCCCTTTCTCTCTATCGATTTGAATTTAAATTCAATCAATGATTAATGGCATGATAATTGTGCTGGATGAATATATTTTTTAAAATTCCTTGAATCTGATATAATTGAACACGGCAGAAATCACAAAAATACAAAAAAACGAAAACCATGAATAATCCCTTCCTTTGAATTAATCCACGATTACTGTAACGTTTCTATTTTGCTGTTGAAATTTGAAATCGAATCAACTTATCTCCTTCTTTTTCTTATCTTGTTTTTCACCTTGAAGTGGGGAAATGATCTCTGTTCTCTCCAGGTTACGCCCAACAACATGCATATTTGACCCTATAACATAGGGCATCTGGGTTTGTTCCATCTTGACATCCCTTTTCAATTCAATTTTTTATGTAAATGCTCATAACAACGACTGAATTGGATGAATTGAGAAAAAAAGCTTGTACCTTTTTTGATGCTGAAGCGCCATTAAAGTGAGAGAAAGGAGAAGAGAGAGAAAGACTGATAGAAAAAAAGAGTAAAAGAGTTTATTTTATACAGTAAATCTTCACCATTGGATAAGATTGTAATCTAACGATATTGAAAGGGGTAGACAAAGGTAGACAAAATAATCTATCCTAATTGTTGATTTTGTGTCATTTTAAAGATATAATTATTGAGAATTATTAATTAATTGATAAGTTTGATCCAATAAATTATAATCATTGATTCACATTATATCTTTTAGACAAGTATTTTTTTCATTTAATTTAATATGAAAATAATAATTAATAAATATTCCAAAATAGCTTAATAAGTACTTACCATTCTAACAGTAATCAAAAAGTATTTACCATTATTTCTTTTATTATTTTCCTTTTTTTTTCTAGAAGGGCAAAAAAGAAGAAGAGAGAGACATCGATACACGTAAGTAACATCATTAGCCATTAGCCAGAAAAGAAACAAGAAGGAAAAAACCGATCAGAGAGCAACCGCAACAGATCGAAGATGGTTGCGTTCACCGGTGACGAAACTGCTCCCTTCTTCGGCTTCCTCGGAGCCGCCTTTGCCCTTGTTTTCTCATGTAACCTCCCTTTCTCCCTTCATCAATCACATTTTCACACCTTTTTTCTAATTTTTTTTTTGGTTAAATTGTTGGTTGTTGTAGGTATGGGTGCTGCTTACGGCACGGCGAAAAGCGGCGTCGGGGTTGCATCGATGGGTGTTATGAGACCGGAGCTGGTGATGAAGTCGATAGTTCCGGTTGTGATGGCTGGTGTGTTAGGTATCTATGGTTTGATTATTGCGGTTATTATCAGTACGGGCATTAACCCTAAGGCCAAACCCTACTATCTCTTTGACGGTTACGCTCACTTTGCTTCCGGTCTGTCTTGTGGCCTTGCTGGCCTCGGCGCTGGCATGGCCATCGGCATCGTTGGCGATGCCGGTGTTAGGTATTTAAATTCCTTCTTTACCCTCACTCTGTTTTTGAATTGAATTCCAAACTTTTTTTTTTAACTAGTTTTAGTTGTTGAGGGAGATATTTTGACTACTGTATAAGATTAAGTGCATATTGTAGTTTATTTGGAATCAATAATTAATTAGTATATATAATTTAATAAATTACAATAAAAATCTACCGCTGAGATGGAGAGTACACTGGAGTTAAAAGATCCTCCCTCTAACATGTTTAGATATTCATGTGCCTAGATCTTATAGTTTAAACTTTTAGGATTGTTGGTGTTTTACTTTTAACAACTAGGGAATGAGATGGAGTGATATGAACATGGTGTTTTTGTGTGTTCATTGTTCTTACTGATTATTGTTGGTGTTTATAAATATTGGTTGTAGTGATTTGGTTTTTGGATTCCATGAGAGAGTGAGTACATTGCTAATTTCAAACCAAGAGTTGTGCTGATGATAATATGAAGTTTGCAGTGGCATGTCTGAAATTCTTGCTGGTTCTCTGGTAATGAGAAGTTTATGGTGTCATTGTATTCTGTTTATGGTTTTATAGAAATATTTATTAGTGAAGTTCTCAAACATTAAATAACTTGTGCCTTTCTTGTGAGGGAAACTAGTGATAAGGAAAAAATTACATAACTTCAACATTTTCACCTCTTACAATGACTATTTTGATACTCAAAGTTCAAGAATTGCAAAAGAGTTTCCTTTCAAGATTCTAGGAGTTAATAAGATGCTATTTTCTATGAAAAGTTGAAAACCAACAATTCTACAGAACAAAACTAAAGGAAATGTATATTGTTGTCATCTGGTTGTCTACTTGTTGATTATGTCTTGGCAATTATTTTATGGGAAAAGTATTTGTCCTTTTAAAATTATCACAACAAAAACATTTAAGCAATAGTGTTTTACTCAGTATTTTATGGCAGATGTCCTTTCAAGAGTGAGTACATTGCTAACATTTAAGCAATAGTGTTTTACTCAGTATTTTATGGCAGATGTCCTTTCAAGAGTGAGTACATTGCTAATTTCAATAGTGTTTTACTTAATATTAAAATTAAAAAAAAAAATCTATCAATAACTGATGCAAAATTACATGGAAAGTAGGCTTTCAGGAAAATGCAGAAGTTTTCTGCTATATTATCATTCTTCAATAATCAAAAAGTCTTCCTTCACATCCTTCTAACCAGCCTTTTAAAAGTAATACAAAAAGTAACTGACGACAAAGGACCATCAATGGTCTTAAAAACTGATACAAAACGGAAATAACCATAAACAAAACATAAAGTCATGCAAACTGAAACGTCTGCAATTATTAAAATTCATAAAAAGCTTTAAAACTGAAACGTCTGCAATTATAATAATTTATGGTGACTTAAGTGCATCATCCTCTCCCACTAGGAAAAGATTCGCCCTCGAATCTGCAACATCTTCAGGTGGTAATCCAGGCGGCAACTCTTATGGTACAATATCACCAAATTTCCTAATTAAGATTAGGACTTGGAAATGCAAATTCTTTGACATGCTTGGTATATTCATTTGTAGTTTGGATCAATGATCGCATCTGTGATCCGTCATAGGAAAACTTTGTTTGATGTACCAGCAAGTCCCATTACCTTTGACAATCTCCAATTAAACTTTTACCAAAATCTAAATCTTTATCTCCATGGAGCATAAGGTTGTTATGCTCATTGTCCCCAAATTCATAATCCTGCTTGCAAACTAAAGACTTTTGTAGTTTGGATCATTTTGCATGATATCTTTGGGTAGAACTTCATCTTTGTCAGAGATATTAGAATTTCTAATAATTGACTTCCCATCGGAATCACTACAAGAGATTTCTTTCACCTCTGGTTTCTCGTCGTCTTGCTCCCAATCATACTTATCATAGATAGGGAACTTGTCATAAATTGGAGCATCCATAACAGGATTCTCATCATCTTGCTCTTCATCATATTCATCATAGATTGGGACCTTCTGGTCTTCTGTCAAGTCTATGATGTCAAAGACCTTTTCGACGGTGTGTGACTCGTCGAAAGGGAGACAAGAATCTGAACTGTCATCTCCAGAGGAAGAGGAGGACGGAAATCCATTTTGGAACCGCGAAATACCAAGGAGAGGTCGAACCGGTGATCAACCCTTCACTTCCAATTTTGGGATGAAGATCGAGATTCCAGAATTTGAGAGATCAACTCACCCTGACATATTCATCGACTGGTTACACACCGTCGAGAGGGTTTTTGATTTAAAAAACCTCACAGATGAGCAAAAGGATTGATTTCCAGGTTGACTTCGTCCTCGTCGCTCCTGGTTCCGGTTCCATAATCTCCTTTCCTCCTCATGAGATGATCTTTCAGATTCCCATCCTTCATCTGACTCGTGCAACTGTGCCTCTGCAAGCAGTTGTGTCCTTTTCCTCAATTTCAGCATCTCTCGCATCAGTATAATAATCACCATCGGTAGGTTGACCGCGTCTGCCGCCACGACCTCTTCGTCCATGACCACGACCTTCGCGATTTTCCTTCGCGATTTTCCTGCTCAGCCATCTTTAAGGCAACCTGAGCTTTGATACCAAATGATGCAAAATTATATGGAAAGTAGACTTTCAGGAAAATGCAGAAGTTTTCTGCTATATTATCATTCTTCAATAATCAAAAAGTCTTCCTTCACATCCTTCTAACCAGCCTTTTAAAAGCAATACAAAAAGTAACTGACGACAAAGGACCATCAATGGTCTTAAAAACTGATACAAAACGGAAATAACCATAAACGAAACATAAAGTCATGCAAACTGAAACGTCTGCAATTATTAAAATTCATAAAAAGCTTTAAAACTGAAACGTCTGCAATTATAATAATTTATGGTGACTTAAGTGCATCAATAACCTTTTACTCTCTCCCACCACGATCTTCAATTGTGTAACTCTTTCACCATAAAACACAATATTTTAGTTAAAATGACACAATTTTATATTTTTTAAAAGGACAAATACTTTTTCCTTATTTTATATAGAATTTCATTATATCCTTTTAAATAAGAATTTGGATAATAAATTATTCTTCTTCTCTTGCAAATCAAATTACTAGTGCTTTATGCTTTCACTAATATTCTTTTCTTGTTATTTAGCCATCTGCCAGATATGCAAATGTGCTAACTAAACGTGTCAAAAATATGCAAACTTGGGCAGATTATATGTATAATTCATACAATTGTCAAAATTGTTTGCATAGGTGTACTAGGTAATTCATGCATTGCATCAGTGGATATTGATACTTAGTTGTAGTTAATTTCGGTTAGAATACACCTTTTTCATGGTTTCAAGTTTACAAAACTGCAATGAAGAAATATTCTAACCTGATTAACCTCTTTAAAATTGTTTAGGAATATATCTCAGTATTTTTCTGTTATTGATTGAATTACAACTTTACTACTACTGTTGCTGTTTTCAATTTTTCAATATTGTTTGACTCTCATCTTTGGGCAACCTGCCCCCACTTTGATACCTATCAAAATAGTTTCTTTCTACTCAGTTTTGGGCAAATAAAATACGATTATACTTCTGTACTACTCTTCCCTGTCCTTGCATTTTATCAATTATCATTTATCACAACAAAAACATTTAAGCATTCAATCTTATATCAGTAAACCAATAAGATCTTTTCCACACTTCACCTTCCAAACCATTTATCTTCAACAGAGAAAAGCACTAATTAGTGGATGAAACAAAATTTTCATAAATTGCCTATCCATATATCCCTTAGCTCAATTACGCTAAAATAATACTCCTTGACAGGCTTACCACATTCTTCATCTCCCAAAGTATTGTATTGCTATATTTTGAAGGCCTATATTGTTTCTCATTCGCTAAGAGTAGTACAGAAGTATAATCTTACTTGATTTTTTCCGCTGCAAGAAGGATTGTTGGTTTCATCAGATCACTGGGATATTAGTATCTTTAGTTTAGAAATTCGATTTGGTTTCTTTTTGACGTATTATTTGACATTATTGGTTCACTCCTTTTGATTCAGAACTCTACTGATTCAATAAATGTAATTCAAGTTTCATTTAAATGATTTGAATTTAACATGCTGATAACTGTCTTTGTAGAGCAAATGCTCAACAGCCAAAGCTTTTTGTTGGAATGATTCTCATCCTCATTTTTGCTGAGGCATTGGCGTTATACGGTCTCATTGTTGGCATCATCCTCTCTTCCCGTGCTGGCCAATCCAGGGCTGATTAATATATAATTTCCCGTTGGTTGTGATACACGGAGCCACAGATTATGAATGGCATTGATAATGTTAGTACTGAGCTTGCTGCTTGGTCTTACTCATGTGATTTGATTTATGTACTCGTTAGAAAATTGAGGTTATATAGGAATAAAGCTCGTCGAACTTTTCTTTGCTCATCACTTTATTTATTTATATGCTCAATCCAACAATATTAGATATATCTTTAATAAGACAGATACTTGTTTCGTTTCCAATGACTTTCAGTAAAAATTTTTAGTCTTCAAAACGCCTGTCTCACCTCTACCAAACCTTTTTTTTTTTTTTTTTTTCTTTTGTATTCTATTCTTTTGTTATGATTTTATTGTTTTATCTTTGTTGACATTCATTTGACACGCAAGATTAGCCAAAGTGCAATTTACGGTCGATTCATATTAAGTGAGAGAGAGAGAGAGAGAGAGAGATTTGGTTTACCTCTCACCCCATTTCAGAAACCAAAAATCAGAAATTGACATATCAACTCACGTGTCCGCAGGACAATTTTTCCTGAAAACAAGAAATATAAATAAAGAAATAGAGGTAAAAGAAAAGAAAAGAAAATGCATAAATAAGTAAATAAGAGAATAAAAATTGAGAGAAAAAAAAGAAATAAAAGAAAGGAAAGAAAGAAAAAATACGAAAAAAAAAGCAAAGGTATAAAGGGAAAGAAATGAAGACAAAGACGAAAAGAACTAAATAAGGAATATATGTAAGATAGGAAGAAAATAGGTCAAACTCTTCACAATGCTAATAGTTTTTCTCCAATTCGTCTTAAGACACATTGTCTGTCAATCTATATGTTACTCCATTAAGTCTTGTTTTACTACCTTCCCCTAGTAAGTTTCGATTTACCTCTTTCTCTCTTTAAGGTAACAAAATTTTGTTCTTACAAGATCTTTTCATTATGTACCCAAACCACCTCAATTTATATTCTCTCATCTTTTCAATCCCTCTTACCTTTCATAGAATATCTTTATCTCTTATCTTATCTATCCTTGTACGACCACATATCCACATTAACATTCTCATTTCTGCTATTCTCATTTATACTAATGTTGTCTATGTGCTGACCAACATTCAGATCCATATAATATTGCGGGCCTTACTACTGTTCTATAGAATTTTCCTTTTAACCTAGGGGGAATTATGTGGTCACACAAAAACACTAACACACTGTCATTTATGTCACCCTGTTCTGATTCTATGATTCACATCTTAATTAAATCTTTCTATTTTTTTTTTGCAAAATTGATCCCAGTCCCCAGATATTTGAAAGTATCTTTTTGGAGTACCTCTTTGTCCAAGTAGATGCACAAAATTGTGATCTCTATCTTTTACAAGAAAAAACTCACACTTTATATACTCAATCTTGCCCCGACTTAGCGTAAATCCTTCAAACTTCAATATGTTTCCCCACAATTCTAGTTTTTTCTTAACACCATCCCTAGTCTCATTAATAAGCATAATATAATGTGCAAAAAAAATACACCAAGTCACTTTTTCTTGAATATATTTTGTCAGTTCATCCATAATTAGGGAAAAGAGATAAGGACTTATAACAGAACATTCGTGTAAACCTATCGTGATAGGAAAATAACTTGATGTTCCATTACAAGCTTTCACACATGTAATAGCACCATCATACATATCCTTGATTGTCTCTACATACTTTGATGTTACTTTTTTTTCCAATAACCCACCATAAAACCTTTCTTGAAACCCTCTCACATGTCTTCTAAAGATCTATAAATACCATATATAAGTCCTTCTTTTCTCGATATCTTTCCATTAATTGTTGTATCAAGAAAATGGCCTCCATGGTATATCTTCATAGCACAAACCCAAATTGATTTACATGTACTTTGGTCTCTCTCCTCAAGCAATGTTCAATAACTCTTTTAACACAACTTTATAGTATGGCTTATAAGTTTAATGCCTCTATAATTAGAACAATTCTGAATATCTTCCTTTTTTTTTTCTCCCCTTGCTTTATTCTCTTTCTTCCTGCTTTGCTTGTTAATATTACTCCTATGTGAACTCCTTATGATATTTGTACAAATGAAGATGGCATTCCTTTGTTCTAGTTTAATTTTTGTTCTACAATTAGTCTACTCCTAATGATTTGTACAATGAAGATAATCTTCCTCTGTTTTGAATTTTATATTTTTGGTTTCCAAAAGGTGTTCCCACCTATTTGGATAGACTAATTCACATCGTAGCATAGAGCGTGAAGATTTTTACCGATGGCCCCAAGGTGATTCGCACAGGAATCGAACCAGTAACTTTTCAACCATAACAATTCGCTCCTTAAGCACAGCTGGCTTACCAACTATGCCACCCCTTGGGGTTCTCTGTTTGGAATTTTATAATAATTTAATATTGTACCTTAAAATTAGTAAGCCAGAAATACCTTACAAATTCTGGTTAAGGTTTTTGGACTTTAAGTACAATTTTTTCTGTTGTATTTGATAACTAGTATACTATTTCGTCAACTCTGTTCTAGCGACCAAATTGAAGATGGCAGGTTCATACATAGAACTTAGTTGTTGCGCTATACCACTACCCACCATAGCGCTATGGCATTTTTGGGAGGTTGGCAGCTACCAGCATTTGATAACTATGCATTACATAATTTTCTCCGGAGCACAATAGCGACAAATCATCTTAACAAAACTATATAATGTACAATATTGAACAAAGATCCCTAAGAGATTTTAAGCCCTTGACTAACTTGTGCGATAAATATCAATTACGGTAAAATCCCCCCATATTCTCTAAGTTAATTCAGCTTTGCCTTGTAAATGAAAAAACATCAAATACATGAAAATATACGCAATCCAAGCTACATTGTAGGAAGTAATTTGTAAATTAACAAGAGACGAGAGGATCAATAGAATGAATTTGTATATTGAATTGATTCAGGAGAGTACAATATATAAAGAAACACTAATGGGCTTAGCCTATATCTAACCTAAATCCTAATGAAATAAGGAAATAGATCTTTATAAATAATAAAGATATTCTAAAGATATTCTTTCCAACAATAATAAAGATATCCTAAAATATTCTTTCTAACACTCCCCCTCAAGCTGGAGCGTAAAGATCATAAGCAACAAGCTTGAACAAGAAAGACTAAGAAACATAACATCAAAATAAACGAGTGAGGGTTGTAACAACTCTACAACTCACCCTAAAGAAAAATAAAAATATTATAAACTAAAATAAAATATTATCTATATCTCAAATACTCCCCCTCAAGATGGAGGGACATTTCATCTTGGGAAGAAAGAAAACTAAAAGGATGCTTCACGGAATATAAGTTGAAGAAATCGACAGCAAATCAACTAGAATGACCATCAGTTTCAAGAGCTGGTAAAGATATCAACCTAAAGGGCTGGGAAAGACATTGTTGCAACTGGAATACAAGCCGACGCAGCTAAGTGTAACTGGAATAATCCGTGGATCATGAAACAATAGAGATAATGGGAAAAAGACATTGTTGCAACTGGAATACAAGCCGTCGGAGCCAGTGTAACTCGAATAATCCGCGGACCAGGCAACAATGAAGATATATGCTCCCCTTAAATGGGAGGCCAAAATAAAGGCAAAAATAAAGATAGCAGCACACGACAGAAATCGAATAGATGGACGCCGACGAATGCTGGCCGAAGATGAACAGATCTGGAAATGCAAATCGGTGAATGCGAGATCACACACTCGCGACCCAAACGATGACGATTGAACGAAGTGAAGACAAATCTAGAAAGAGGACGACTGGGCGACCTTTTCTGCCCTTGATCGACAACGAACGGTCGCCGGAAAAGGCCACCGGACAATGGTGGACAATGACACAGAGGTTGGTATGAATATTTCATCACATTCACTGATGATTACTCAAGATTTGGACATGTGTACCAGATGCGTACAAGTCTGAAGCTTTTGGAAAATTTTAAGAGTTCAAGGCTGAGTCAGAAAAGCATCTTGGTGTTCAAATCAAGACTCTTTGGTCTGACCGAGGTGGTGAATACCTATCTGGAGAGTTCAGGTCTTACCTGAGCAAGGAGGGGATAGTTTCACAATTATCTTCTCTAGGGACACCCCAACAGAATGGAGTTACTGAAAGGAGAAATCGAACCCTTTTAGAAATGGCAAGATCTATGCTCAGTCATTTGTCTGTATCTGATTCATTCTGGGAATATGCCTTAAAAATTTCTATGTACTTATTAAACTTAGCTCCATCCAAATCTGTTTCACAAACACCCATAGAATTATGGAAAGGGTGCAAGCCCCACTCTGAACCATATTCGGATTTGGGGTGCTCCGGCACATATTTTACAACAGAAGACAAATAAGATGGACTCACGTACAGAAGTGTGCATTTTTGTAGGCTATCCTAAAGGAACTAGAGGTTGGATGTTTTATAGTCCAAAAGATAAGAAGGTCTTAGTGAGTACTCACACGACTTTCTTGGAGGAGGACTATATGGCAAATTACAAGCCTAGGAGTACGGTTATCTTGATAAGCTTGTCTCAGATCAAGTTTTACCTCAACCTCAGGTGGTTCCATCTTTTGTTCCTGTGGTTGTTCAAAGAGGAGAATATATACCTGAAGGTGAACATACACAGGAACCAGAGGAAACAGAAGTTCAGCATGATGATCAACACGTGGAACATGTAGAAATACAAATATCACTTGTGGAGGAACAAAATCAAGAATTGGTTAACCCACCTAATAGGGGTCCTCAAGAAATTACTGATCTACCAAACTTGGATCCTCTTGTAGATGCACAACAACAAGTGCGACAAAGTCGTAATAGGACATTATTTCATAAACCCGTAAGATATCTCTTGTTGGGTGAATCATATCAGGATGTTACCATTGAAAGAGATGATGATCCTATAATTATGACGAGGCACTAGAAGATATTGATGTGTATGAGTGGCTTGGGGCTATGAACCGAGAGATGGAATCTATATATTCTAACTCAGTTTGGTTTCTTATAGAAGCACTTAAAGGGGTAAAACTCATTGGGTGTAAATGGATCTACAAGAAGAAGAGAGGATCAGATGGGAAGGTTGAAACTTTCAAAGCTAGATTGGTGGCGAAAGGGTACACCAAAATAGAAGGTGTAGACTATG